AATTATCAATATTTTCCTGTTTTGAAAACTTAATACAATTATTCTGGTAACTTAAAAGTTTTAATCTAATCAGCATTTTAGAATTTTTAAGTTACAATAATGTTTTAAACCATGTAGTGGTAACACACCTCTTGAGTAATTTATTAAATGATGGTTAACAGAGCCAGGATTTTTTCACAGTATTTCCTATAATATTTTTTTCTTCTAGAGAAAGTCTTATTTGTTTTATTTCAGCTAGAATGAAAGCAGTTTTTAATTTTGTAAAACCATTTTATGGTCAATAATATTAGCCCCCTTAAACAATATTTGTTTTCGATTGTTCATCGTTATACAATGAATTTTCTTATTATTCTAAATTAACCTAGTTAAGCCTTTAAATGTCACTTTTAAGCTGAATACTAGTATCTTGAAAATATCTAGTAAAATATGTACTGTCATCAGGGCAAAGATAAAATAAATCACTTATTAGACATTGTTAAATGTATTATGTTTAGAAATGTGTTGACATCTTCTTTCTGTTAAACAAAAATTGTGGAAAAATACAGGGAGGCTAATAATTCGAGAGGGCTAATAATTCTGTCTTCAACTGTATTTGTATTGACATGTTCAGTGTTGGGGAAAGTTAGAAAGTAATGCATTACAATATTGAGTATCTGCACAAAAAAAGTAACTAGTCGCATTACTTAGTTACATTTTAATGTAAGTAATGTGTTACGTTACATTTGCGTTACTTTTTCTTACCATTTTGAGGCTTGATCCGTTTCAGAACTTGCAGGCTTTTTTAAAGGAATGAGCTTTGCAATTAACCAGACACTGTATGGCCTTTATTTTCCTTTAAAATACACATTAACAATTATAATTTATTTAGGATAATGTTGTCTTCTGGGCAACACGGTGGCAGAGTTGGTAGCACTGTCGCCTCACAGAAACAAGGTTGCTGGTTCGAGCCCCGGCTGGGTCTGTTGGCATTTCTGTGTGGAGAGTGTTTGGGTGTTTCCCAGTACTGGGTTACGGCTGAAAGGGCATCCGCTGTGTAAAATATATGCTGGAATAGTTGGCGGTTCATTCCGATGTGGTGACCCCTGATAAATAAGGGTCTAAGCCGAAGGAAAATGAATGAATGAAAATTTCAAAGCACAATTAAAGCAGTGTACACTCAAAAATTAATTTTGCTGCTTGTTCAAGCTGTAAATTGAGCTGAAACAACACAAATTCCTGTGGTTTATTTGACAACTTAATTGTTTATGTTCAATTCACTTAAAATGTTAAAACTAATCATTTAACTGAATTCCTTTATGTTGCCCTAACACAAATCGGTTATGTTGAACCCGGCATTTGTTTTTACAGTGTACTATAGACAAAACCGTTTTGCTTTTAACCTTTGCTTCTGACCTTCAGCTTTTTCTTTCCCTCCCATCGACTCTAATTAAACGTGTGAGCTGCCATCTCTGGTCTCTCCATAGGTGCAGTTCACACTCAATACTAATAAAGAGCCTCGGATTCACACCTGCGCCCTGTATATGAGCTCACCGCCGCCCCCTACAGCATGACCCAGATCCTGCATCTCTCCACATATTCACACAAATAGAGCATATTGATTATTATTAGAGCCACACTGTAAAAAATATCTGTAGATTTGTGATTCATGTTTTTATTTATTATTTTCCAACATTTATTTCTGGTTTTAAATTGCATTATAGGATCTTGATCTTTCTCCCAAAAACTTTTAACCTTGTAACGTTGGAAAAAGTGACTTTTATGAACATCTTTAATTGTTTAAAGTGATATATTGTCTGGGTTGGTGTTCTTTATTATGCTACAGAAACCTTGTAATAAACTGCCTGTACATTTTCTGTTATTTTACAGACTCATTTCTCTAGATATTTTTTCTTATCCATTCTAGTATTAATAACTAAATAATAACTGAAAACTAAAATGTCAAGAAAAGTCACTTTGGTTAACTGTAGAGTTGAATTTTCAACATCAAAAGTCGACAGCTATTTCTGTGCAGGATTTTGTACAAAATCTGCAGACTTATGCAGAATGATTTTGACAGCAGTAACTAAAAACGGAGCGCATGAAATGAAAAAATTAATAACTTTTGCACTTTGATTTAAGGTTTACAATGCAAATCTGACTAGAACCACTTTTTTGGTAAACAACGTAAGTCTATATTTAAATTGATCTACTAAATTTTTCATTACAAACTGTGTTGTGCAAATAATTACATGCAAATATTTGCAAATTATTTAACAATATTCTGGAAATTATTCTAAAAGTGGAATAAACAATACATATTTACACACATATACATTATAATATAGTAAATAAATAAACTTATCAGAAATTCTACCATCACTCCTATGCTATATATATATATATATATATATATATATATATATATATATATATATATATATATATATATATATATATATATATATATATATATATAGAGAGAGAAATATATATTTATATATTTATTTTTTTTTTATATATGTATATATATGTATATATATATATATATATATTTTTTTATTTTAAATAAAAAAAAAAAAAAAAAATATATATATATGTATATGTGTGTGTGTGTGTGTGTGTGTGTGTATAAAAAATAAATATATATATATATATATATATATATATATATATATATATATATATATAGATATATATATAGATATA